GGCGAAGAGGTGAGTGCGAATGGATGGTTTGGCAACATGAATCACCACAACTACAGTGGGACGTCGACCTGACAATTAGCCGTTCCCATGCAGTTGTCCAAAAGCTATGTTGACTACAATTCGTTGGTCGAATTCTATATTTCAATTAACCAGAATAAGCACAGATTAACGTACCATAGCCGTACACCTCTGATCTGCCTCCGATGATCTTTGCTCTCCTGCATAATTCCGCACCCTGAGGAGCGGTGACTGAGGCACCACGTGCGGTGAGCCTGCGATGGCACATGAGCTGGCCCGACATTGAGTCCTATTGGCGCGGGCTTGTTTCTGAAAGGAATCGCACATGCAACTGCTCGGATAAGAGGAAATATCGCTGAATTCAGTGGTTCAGCGAAGGTACATGGGACAGCTGTGTCGAATGTGACACCTCACCACATGGCTACTGAGCAAACTCACCACAAATGTCGAGCGAGTTTCAGAAGGTAGGCATCGCCAAAGCTTCCGAATTTCTCGTGCTCTTGCACGGGCGTCTGGCCACTGAGTCTTCAATTCGGGATGGACCACGTTGGCATAGAGCACAGGCGCAATGGTCGATCGATGCCCGAGGCGTTCCTGGTCTTCCCACTTCTCATAATGCACGCGACGAGACGTTGGCGTTCCTCCGATGCATCCAACGCCAGCGGTACCACCACCGTTGCCGCTTCCAGCACCACCACCACCACCACCACCAACACCGCCATCGCCTTCGATATCACCAACATGCAATGGGAGCACTGTGGAGGTGCCTGGGACTACGGGAGAGGTCAGACCGTTGGCAGGCATAGATTGTACAGCCAGCTGAATGTCACCAGGTCGTTTGGGACTCACGTCTGCAAGAGTAGGCATGTTAACTGGTCTATCATCGTTTCGACACACTTCAAAGCCAATAGAAACGGTTTGAGTTGGACTATTTGACTTGATATCAACGCTACAAGTAGAGACATTAAATCAGTGACTTCTGTTTTGTTGACGCACTATGTTGAAGGCTTAGGCGGCTTTGTGGTCTGATATTCAAATTCACTTCAAGAACATTTCTGTGTTTGCATTCAAGCCTTGTTGGAGAAGCCCGTTAAACGACCCCCGCCAACATCTTTTGTAGCAACTATTCGCTTCAGTTACCTCGCGTCAACAACAAACAGTCTCGAACTACGGCATACAACCAATGATTCAGCATGAAACGAGGTGATATTTTAAACATCCTCAGCCATCATGGGACGGCTTTGAACTGGGTGCTGCTCGTAACCAATTTCTGGAATGGGCAAGAAAAGGACGCGACAATTGCTCAGCATAGGTGAATTCGCTTTTCCTCTGCAAAACCAAAAGACCGCTTGCCACGCACTAACACTTACCCTAGGCGCCAATTCGATTTCCGTTTTCGGATCCGCTACACAAACAACCTGTTCTGCGCGTCTTTGTGGCTGTTCAGCGAGTGCACCTAGAGGCAGTGGCCCCTGGCCAGGTTAAACAGCGAGGCGCTGCTTCAAGTCTGTTGGATCGTTGAAAGCATCGGAACAGGAGGTGCTACAATAAATGATTTCACATCCTGGATACCGACACTCGTGTCAACAAAATTGCCGGCCATGCTCAGGAAGTCGTCCAGAAGCATGCAATCATTGACATCATCAAGGCCTACGAATTAGATTAAGTAAGATAAATATACACGAGAGTAGGAACACAAGAAAATAAGCACGATAAAGGAGCCTACTTGTTTGCATTTGAACGCTCGGTTCGACAGACCGATTCTGTAGTTGCTGTTGATGGTGTTGTATCAGGACGGGTGAAGTAGGCGGATGTGGCTCGACCAAATCACCACCAACACCAACAGAACCTGACGGCACGTTGAATACTTCATTCAATATTTCTTCAAGTCCTTCATCATCTAAGCTGTCTACCGTTTCCTCGTCTTCGCCATACTCATCCACGTCCCTAAGAGTATCATCCTCGAAAAGATCCACAGCTGCAACAGCGCTGGCATGAAAGGGCGACTCATTGGTCCACAGGTGTTGTCGACAGATCGAACCCGTAATTGGAGAGTCAAATCCACTCCGAGGACTGGCATTCTTCGAGGACTGTGTGCAACCACCCCAAACATCAATCTGCAAATAAGCGCAATGACAATGTAACCGGCTTCTTCAGATATTTGGAAATCTCTGATGTAAGCTCCTGCAATCCACCAACATATAGTTCATGGTGACGCTGAAATTGTTACATTTCAAGGAAAACTGATGCTGATAGCAGCAGCAGCATTTGTGGATTCACCGAAACTTCACACCTTGATCGGGCACTTTGTTAACTTTGCCAGATGCAGCAAAGCTGCTAACAATCATGACGTTGCCCACCAAATGTAGAACCTTTTGTGAGAGGCGAATAAGTGAAACTGTCAAGCTCACCATCAAGAAAAATAATGGTGCTAAGTCAGTGGGCTTCAGTAGCACGTCTTACACAAATTTGTTTGATGCTGACAAATGAAAGAATTTTCAAACAGATAGTGATGAAACCAGCTCTAACTAATGGCAACAATGCCGCGATTTCACGAAAAAGAATTTCCCCAGGACTAGTTATTAGAACATGACTTGTATTTACTTTTCCAAATCACTCTGAGTGAATCCTGAGCCAGGAGTAGACGAAGTAGAAGCAGGAAACACTAAAATCAATGACAGTGGAAATGCAGGCAGTTTATAGAATGAGAAATTGAATTATCGATTATGTGGTGCCAAATTACAATACCTCGCGAGAATGCATTGACTGACACCAGTTTATGAACAGTCCAGTTCTGATTTAATAAGCACCAATGCAACTTAGCCGTGTACAGAAATAGAGGGAAGGATAAACTGTGGTGGAACCAGAGAGCATACAATATATGGTAAATAAATGCTGACGAACCGGTCTTTTGAGATCGGTGCCTCCTCAGGCTGATATTGGTTGGTAGAGGCAGCCGATATCATGCGGTTGCTTGTAATCACTAGAGTGGTCGAAGAGAGCCTTCGACGTTTTCGTTTGCTTCTCAAAAGACGTCGAGAGGCGTCGAGAGGCAGTCTGGAGCCAGTGGTGACTGCTGCTGCCGCTGGTGCCAATTGTGAGTTCTCTGTCTGGGAAGTGATTATGCAA